GTAATGTGATCATTGATCAATAAATAATTGTGAAAATTGGTTGGAGTTTTTTTTTTTTACATTTGTTGTTGTCAATGGATTTATTATATGAGTTTTCTCTAAATTTTCAATAATAAAAACTTTTAGATGAATCTTAATGTCTTAACTACTATGCCATCTGTTTCTAAATAGTCGAAAATACCGAAATCTCATAGATGGAAATCAATGAGATTTTTCGAAAATTTGATTTTATTGTTATAAACGAGACAAAAACTTCAAGTTAACATCAAAAACAAGATTGGTGATTGATTTACATAGTGAGAATTCGTTACCTTCATAATTCATATTTCAAAATAGATTTTACGTCTTTTCTAGTCAAAATTTGTGTTTGTCTAGTTTATTCTTTGTTTCATGATGGTCTAGTGGTTAGATATTCTTTCCTCGAGTTCATCTTGTATCCACGTAGTGTTATTAGTGAGATTTAGTTGAATCTTAATGTCATAACTACTATGCCATCTGTTTCTAAATAGTCGAAAATACCGAAATTTCYTAGGTGGAAACCCATGAGATTTTTTGAAAGTTTGATTTTATTGTTAAACGTGACCAAAGCTTCAAGTTAACATCAAAAACAAGATTGGTGATTGATTTGCATAGCAAAAATTCGTTTACCCCTTCATAATTCATATTTCAAAATAGATTTTACGTCTTTTCTTGTAAAAATTTGTGTTTGTGTAGTTTGTTCTTTGTTTCATGATGGTCTAGTGGTTGGATATTCTTTCCTCGAGTTCATCTTGGATACACGTGTGTTATTAGTGAGATTTAGTTGAATCTTAATGTCCTAGCTACTATGCCATCTGTTTCTAAATAGTCAAAAATACCGAAATCTCATAGGTGAAAACCCATGAGATTTTTCGAAAATTTGATTTTATTGTTATAAATGTGACCAAAGCTTCAAGTTAACATCAAAAACAAGATTGGTGATTGATTTGCATAACGAGAATGCGTTTATCCCTTCGTAATTCATATTTCAAAATAGATTTTACATCTTTTCTACTAACAATTTGTGTTTGTGTAGTTTGTTATTTGTTTCATGATGGTCTAGTGGTTGGATATTATTTCTTCAGTTCATCTTGGGTCCACGTAGTGTTATTAGTGAGATTTAGTTGAATCTTAATGTCCTAACTACTATGTCATCTGTTTCTAAATAGTCAAAAATACCGAAATCTCATAGGTGGAAACCCATGAGATTTTTTGAAA